AACAGCGCGTACACCTCCGCATCATATAGACACCATTTACTACACACAATAGTCTTTTTTTTCTCTGATTCTGAAAACTCTTCACGATCGACTCAACATGCCTCCAAGATCGACTTGCCGACTGCGATCGACAGGTTGGTGATTCCTGTAACGTTACTGTTTTACGGTCAATGACAAGAGTACTTATCAGCTGTCTCACCAGCACATTTATCCCCACATAGCAAAGCCAAAACACAGAGAGGGAGAAGAACTAAGTTACATGAAACAATCCAAATCCAAATCCAAAACTACATATTTTACACCACTGTCAAGGGAAAAGTCACTAATCATGGTGTTTATGGCTAGCTTCTAGGTCTCTGCAACTTCTCTTTCAAGGTAGTGACAAAACGCGCTCTATAGCGATGTTTGTTCGCTGTCGGCTACATGACGTCACAATATGTCGACCTTCATAGAAGGGGGTGTCCGCAGTTATCTAGATATAAGTGTCTCTTCTAAGGTAATAAAAAAATTACGTTTTATTAAGTAAGTTCTTTATACACCGCTGAAAACATAGTTATGGATGTCATATTGCATTTCTGTTTATAGATGCTCAAAATTTTTACAAAAAATAATTGTCCTTTTTGATTTCATGGTGACTTTAAAACCAAGATTTTCATTATTTAAAAATAATATCAGAAACAAGATTCACAGAAACTCCTCGTTTTGTGTGTTTTTATATTTTTCCCCTCTCAAATTGTGTTTTAAAGCAGTATGTGTCACCACATATAATGAGACCAGTTACCACCGTGCCATCTTGGTTTTGAAAGACTTTGAAAGCTGACAGAAACACTGCATCTGGTCGAGCTGAAGTGATTAGACCAAGGTGTTTTGTGCTGACTGAGCCTCAGATGGTACTGAAGGTAATGAAGCGATTTATGGTCAGTTACAGGTTGATGTGGTGGAAGGGGGAGTGTTCTCGTGTAGTGTTGGAAAAAAACACTGGAGAGTGAGCACAAGCTGGGCAGCTAGCTCTTGAAACGCTTAATACACATTGATTATCTTAATGTGCACAGTTAACCAGTGCACATAATTTCAGAGGACATTTCAAAAGCTTTATATATATATATATATATGGACTTATTGTGTACATTCATGTTTTTACAATATATTTATATTTTAAAAATACTTGCATGTAATTACAGCTGTAATTATGTAATTACAGTACATTCGTAATTACACTGTTCATCCTTCCTTTATACCTTAACCCACCCTTAAACCTACCCATCACACCTGATCCTAACCTTACCTGTATCACACCTCAATAGCAGCAATGGGATTTACAATACAACATGAATACAATAAGTACATTGTACTTAATTTTAGATGTAAATACATAGTACTTAAAGCCACTTGATATAAAGTGGGACCAATAATCTTTGTAATACTGTGTATTTTGCACCTTTTTTTCCACCTGCAAATTGTATAATGCACCTAGCCGTGGATTATGGCCTCTTTAAATCAAACACAAAGATACAGTGCAGTCAGATTGCATTTATTTTAAAGATGTGACTTTTGGCCTTGAATAACTTTAAACTTTAAAAAGCAAAACTGCATGGATTTTTCGAAAGAACATTTGGTTAGTCTCAATCAGCTCCCTAATTCAGTAATCAGGGCACTGATCAGAATCTGACATTTTAAGGGCTGTCTCAATTGTAAAATCCTTCTAGTTCACTGAAATGTTCGTGCCTTAGAAAGTCACACAATGCACCGTGAAAACCAGGGAGCATCGATGATTACTATTTTCCCTTAACAGAAGTTTAAACTGTGAAACTTAAATTATGTAACTTAAACTTAATTAACTTACTACACATAATGACACACAAAAGATGTTTTTTTATTACAAACCATTATTTAATTATATGTCAGCATAAACCTGAATAACTAATAAACATAATATATCTTACATTTATAATGTTACACATATTGTGTTTGTAACAAGCAATGTATTTATCATAATGCACTTTAAAAGGCATTAAAAATAATATAAAAAAGATAATAGTTATTCTGTTGTTTATAAATACCAGTGATGTCATGTCGTCAGAAATAAGCCATCAAAGTCAATGTGTACTGAGCCTGTACTTACCAGTGCCTGAATTCGTGTACATGATATACTGATTCACGACCAATGAAGCTTGAGTGTTGTTTCAGATGCACCCATTGTTTTATTTTGTACTTCGGCTCTGCGTGACAGTGTGGATGAAGATTATCTCACTGCTCATAAAACATTCACTACTAGGCTTCAGAGATAACCAGTTTTGGAAAGGATCTCAAGCTGACAGCTCAAAACGGTACTGTATCTTTACCCATTGTTACACACGGTACTTCCTTGAAAATAAAATTCCAGTGCAGCGCTACAACAACCATAAATGAAATGACCCTTCACAATAGATACTGCCTTATGAACTCTGTTAGAGAGCTACATATGGCAATTTATCTGTTCATTAAAATACCTTACTCACCTGAGCAAATACCTTGCTCACCAACAGCAACTCTCCATCGCTTTCAAATCCCTCACCTCTCACCATCTCTAATAAGCTAAACCAGTGTTGATTCTTGTTTTTTTACTAGCGCTGTGACTGCCATGTTGTTGTTTTTTGCCAGCAGACTCCTCTTTTTAACTTTTTTTTTTTTTTTATGAACCTCGGTGGTTCTCGCTCATCAAGCAAGCATGTTTGAGCTTCTGTTTACCACAACTGATGTTTGAGCTGATTAATGTTTATATGTGAATATAAGGCTAAATTCAAATCTGTTCATCATAGAAATGCGATGGAATTTTGGACTAAACCGCTCAACCATATGGATTCTCAGATTTGATCCAAAATGTTTGTGTCTAAAAAAGTCTAAAGCTCCGTTCACACCGTCAGCGACACGCAGCGACAAAGAGACATGATCCCATTAATTTCAATGGAGCGCTGGCGACACAAGCGACAGAATGTGGGCGTGGCAAGCGACAAAAGTTGAGAAATTTCAACTTTATGCAAATGAGAAACGATTTTCGCGAGCGACAACCAAACTCACGACCGCTCACACCTCACTGTCACGAGTGCAGGCAAGACAGAAAGATTTCGAGGACGCTTTCACTGTTTTATATGATTTGACTGTAACCACATGCATGGAAAAGTGAGTTTAATGCATACATTTAACGTTATAGTTTGAGTGTTGTAATTTTATGATGCATGTTTAGTACTGCTGCAGTTCATTTTACAATTTCCTCTACATTATGTTGACTAAATTCGAATGATGTTTTAATAATTTATCATTAATCTAGTAAATGGTTTAATCCACTGAACACTGCTGCTGTAATATAAAAACAGCCTTAAAAGAAGTAGTTCACTTTTTAAAAAAAACTCACCCTCTTGCCATCCAAGATGTCCACGTCTTTCTTTCTTCAGTCGAAAAGAAATGAAGGTTTTTGATGAAAACATTCCAGGATTTTCTCCATACAATGAACTTCATTGGGAACCAAACAGTTCAAGGACCAAATGAGAGTTTCAGTGCAGCTTCAAAGGGCTTTAAACGACACCAGACGATGAATAGGAGTCTTATCTAGCGAAACGATCGGTCATTTAAAAAATAAATAAAAAAGTTTTATAAGCACAAATGCTCGCCTTGCTCTGCTCTGTGATGAGCGTTCGTGACTCTCCTGTTCAAACTCGTTCATCAAAATCTTTTTTCGAGTCATGACTCGAAGGGTCCTAGATAAGACCCTTATTCATCGTCTGGTGTCGTTTAAAGCACTTTGAAACTCTCATTTGGACCTTGAACCGTTTGGTTCCCAATGAAGTCCATTATATGGAGAAAATCCTGGAATGTTTTCATCAAAAACCTTCAACTGAAGAAAGAAAGACGTGGACATCTTGGATGACATGGGGGTGAGTAAACTAAACTATCATTGAACTGGGCCTGCCTTGTGCCATTTAGGAGGAGCTAAACTGAGCCCAAAACCCCCTCTTCCATGCTGTACCTGTCCCACGATATCCCCAATTTGAAGGGCAGCCTTCGCCTCTACTACAATCAATTTAAAACATGTACGATATCATATGTGATATGTTTATCTGTCTTACTCTCTTCCTTAGCTGACAAGCATTTCATTATAAATTGTTCAGATTTGCATTTACATGCATTGTAAAATCACATAAACACAAACAACATTAAAACTACTGTATGTAGTTTGGTTAATTCTAATTGGTACCCTGTAAGACCTGTCGTCTGATCTGGTCCTTGTGAAACATATGTGTCTCTCTGCTGTCAGATTCACATTATTGTGCTGGACAGTCAGCACACTGTATTGGATTTATTTTTATTGTAGAGCCCTCTGTTCAGCAAGGAGTCTCCTCAGGCTTTTCAGGAGCTCCTGTCTTAGCGGGTTTTTTCCCATATTCGCTTTGATCTCCGGTCCCATGCTGTGCTTTGGCTTACATGGTCTAATCAATGTGCACACTGCCCTCTGACCTCTCTGTACTCCAATTAACCATCATTCTGTGACCCCTGTTACCTACCAGTCACTCACCTTCAGTCCACACCTACACTGCATGTCTGCTGTCAGTTACTTCTGCTCTCTTTGCCCCACTGCCTCATGGCCTGTCAATCAGATAGAAACCTTCTCTTTAAATTCGGCTGGTCAGATTGTCAGACCACACATTGTTTTGTCTTGCTGCATTGTCTCGTAATGTCCATCAGGTAGTACAGACTCCAAGCAACCCTCCTTCACCTTTTGTCAGTCTGGGCTTCCTCCCCATCATGCCCACAGCGGCTGTGCTTTTCAGATGCTCTAAATTATAAGCTAGATTCTGAGAGCTCCGCTGACACTTTAGAAATTAGAGGAATTTTGTTCCTGCTGCTTAAGGAGAAGAGTTTTTTTTTCTACACTTGTAAGCTCTGCATGAAATGAAATGTACATTTTTTTTTTAAAGGAAATGAAAGTGTGTGTTTTAATGCTGTGAAATCTTTCTGTTCATTAGGACGGGAACTTCATTAGAAGCCTGCATGGAAAAGCACCGAACGATGCAATTAAAGTGGGTCAATCTGCCTTCGTAGACTTCGGTGAGTAGTAGATGATCTCTGTTTGTGTTGTGTTTAGAGGTGGCATTGCATGTGTTGACTGCAAACAAGCATACAAACAAAAAAACTGGTGGCAATTTCTGGGATAATTCATGCATAATATGTTCAATTCGGATTCAGTTCAGAATCTGAAAGTATCCCTGAGTCTTTAACGGCAATACATGCACAACACATAAACTCAACGCACACACATGGCACCAAATTGAATATAAGCTCCTGTGGGATCTTATTAAATATTAACAATACAAATTTCCCCTTTCCAAAAGTCATCCCACTGATAGCTGGGATGACATTGGCAGTGAAATCACACATAGCATAAATGATTGATAAGCAAAGTGAAATGACTTAAAAGATTGAATGTGTTCAACTGAGCGGCATCTCAGGGGCTTGGCCTTTATATTCAAAGCTAACTTATCTGACCAAACAAGAGCCCTTCTCTGCACTCTTTAATCTGTTTTCTTTGAACTCTTTCTTTTGTCATTTTGTAAAATGTCACTTCAAGCTGTTATAGGGTTTTCAAGAGCAACAAGAGCTGCGAAGGATGATAGTTTTAAGCAAGATGGGTTTGTTTTCTTCATTAAACTTAGTCACGTTATGATGCTTTTTTGAGGACTGTTGGCATCAGGGTAAACATATTTCATTACTTGGAGAAAAAAATTGTTAACTGAAATAAAATCAAATCAAATAATGAATTAATTGCATCGGCAAAATAATAATAATAATAACTAATTTAAAAACGATTGTATCGGTCGGTGGCTGTATACTGAAACAGGTCTATCAAAACATTAAACTGGAGAATAACACTATGTATTTATTCCAATAGCTCAGATACAGGGAATGTAATTTTAATAACTAACTAATCATGAAACATGATCAGGAATCACCTACAAATGATAAAATTACCCTTAAGGGAATAAGTTGCCAATGTTCTGTAGGAACGATTGAATGCAACAAACAATTGTACTAACCATAATCAATCACAAGAATTAGGCTATAATAATATATTAATATTCCAATTGTCTAAAATAGATCAATTGTCAGGATAAAAAAATAATAATTATGCTGCATTTTATAAATGTTTCTATATTGTTTTATTATCTATTTTTTATTTATTTATGTAAAGATATTATTTTAAAAGATTAAAATGTTTTTGTCATAATTTTTTCAATCTATGCATCCAGTTACACCAAGCTTTTATTTTGGCAGCAGCTTGTGTTAAGACCTTTTTTTTTTATTTTGTGGGTATTTTTGACCTCCATTGTAAATGAAGCCCTAAAATATAACCTCACTTACTAATCTGTTTGCTGTCATGTGTAGGTGATATCTATGTTAGACAAATCTATGTGTGGTATAGACTTGTATAGCTTGGGATATGCGTGGCCTTTGTAAGCTGCCCAATGATTATGACATCTAAAACCTTTGAAATGTATCATCTTATGACCTTTACCGCATCACAGAAATTATGTCACAGTGACGGTAAGGCGTAAAAAAGCAAGAGGTTGGGGAAGTGGATAGATATAAAGAGAGAGAGAGAGAGAGAATGAGCTGTAGACTGTGATTTAGGATGATAAATGATGTTGGGGATTGGAAGAGACATGCATGTGAGACCAGCTCTAGTCTACATGTATGTGCGCGGTGTGTGTCGTGCCCGAGTTAATAATGTGGCTCACACAGAAAAAGGCTTTGTTGGATTAGTGTGAAGCGCTCCTGGAGACAGGACTACAAAGATCTCTGCCAAACCCTGATGATCCAACATCTCTCTCGGCTTTGTCCTTTTCCATCCTTCTCTTTTTAAAGCTTTTAACTTGCCTTACCACTTGTGCATTTCACCACCATAGTACACGCACACAGGCATCAAACTGTCTGCACCAATTAGCTACAGTAGTGTGTGAGTGTAGGAGCCTGTACAGTCATTATGAGATGATTTGGTGTGAGGAACCGGCTGCAGCTCCCTGATGGTGATTGTCTTTGACAGGACAGAGCGCGGTAGCTGATGTGCGCTGAGGGTAAAGACAGATAGACGCCGGCTTTAGCTGCATTCTCACCCCCTCACACACAATACAGGTGAATCATAGCGCACGCTGCTCCCATTAAGTGGGTGGTAATGGGAAGCGAATGGCTTCGTCTGAAGCCAAGGACAGATCCTGACATTATACCTTCGGCTGGCTTAAGTAGGCGCTGAAAGCACAGGTCCCGCAGCTTGTCGCTTTCTATAAACAGCTGAAGGCTTGGCCCTCGGGGACGTGGGCTTGTTTAAATGGTGGAATTGTACTGATCATCAAAGTCGCAACCTTGATTTATGCTTCTGTTATCCCTTTTTCAACGCTAACATTTGAACTTGTACTTAATCAGAAAAATAATCGTTGGGTTTGCGGCACCTGCGAGCACACTTGCACATTAATATTACCTGCAGTGAAATGCTTAGAGAAATCGTGAAAGTGAGGCGCTTCAAAGACTCATTTCCAATGTACGAAATGAAAGGAATGTGGTGTGCAGTGAAAGGTATACCTTGTGTTGGGAACTGAAAGGAGGTGGGAGGAAGGTGGGAAGATGAAAGTGAGCGAGGGAGGGAGAGAAGGGAGGGTCCGCTTGTTTGATTTGAAATGGGAGTTATTCTGATCACACTCCTGCCTGTCAGTTATGGCACGGCTCCCTTCTCCGTCCCGCACCTAAGCGGCAGATCAAAGATACACCCCAGTGACCTTCTCTCAGCTCCTCTCTTCTAGCGCTCTCTCTCTCTCCGTTAGTATTCTCCAGCCATCCCTCTCTGCTCCAAACACTCCAGGAAAACAGTTACAGCAGTTACTGCAAGAGGCTTGCGGTCTGGTTTAAATCAGGTGTAGTATAATCCACTCAGAAAACGAAGGAAAGTGCAATCCTGTTTGGTAGGAAGCAGGTTCGGGCTAATGCTTTCTCCCACCTCAGATGGTACAGCGCTGATCTCAGAGCAGATATTTCATCATGCCACTAGTCAAGCCTAGTGATGTAAGCTCTGAGGCCCATAGTCCAGCTCCTCTGCGGCTATCTGAATCTGGACTTATTTGCGTTGGAGTTTATTATAGGATTTCAGAGTGAAAAAGTGTTCAGTTTGTCTAGTTTTACTTGCAATTGAATGAATTGAATTGCAGCCTCCTCAGCTTTTTAAATACTGGTTCAAAATCCTGACATTGTTTCATTCTATTGGCAGCACAATTTTTTTTAAGGAACCCGTGTGGTGAAAATCAAGTTTTTTATGCTGTTTATATGTCTATGTGGTGTTTTTAATATGCTTTAAGACGAACAATGTGCAAATTCACAAGTCAACATTATTACTGAGCATTTTCTCCTTAAAACTGCAGTGATCTAAGAAATGCAGTTTGGAATCGCCAGTGTTTCTTACATTACAAACTACCGTAACTAATCACGTCAACATGCGGGCTGGCTTAAACACATTATCTTGCTCTGAAGCAGCCGGGAGGATTACGATGTCATGATGAACTGTCTTCACTGACGTTCTAAGTTGTTCAAAACTTTTGTAAGGATGCTGATTTTTAGAAGGCAGCTGACTCTGAAATTGTCAACGGGAACGTGGTTTGTGTAACATTAGCAGCACATCATTAGCTGATTGATAACATAGTCAAGTAGAAGGCTAATCATATTAATTAGCGTTATGTGTCAGAAACAGAAAACGCATTACCATTATGATACATTGGCTTGTAGACGAGCCTGTATAATTCTCTCTTCCACTTCTTCTGAATCCGTTTATGGTTCAAACACATGGCTGAATTAAACTAGTATTTCCAATTTGCCACTGTGCAGCATTAACTACTGTAAAGTTGACCTAGTGGATCTCTGAGCTCATGGGATTGGGGCTCATTCGCATATTCATGGGCTTTGTATACTAAATGAAGCAAGGGTTTAGTTACATTCAAGCTATTTTTAGGCATGGAAAGAATTTTTGATTAGTAGGGATACAATTATTGGCTACAGGGGGACTTTAACACAAATTAAATATTCACCAACTTGTTTGTATTAACCAACCAAATCTGTGTAGTTTTGGGAATTAAAAAAATGGTTGTGCTAATTGTTTATCTTTATGTTTTCGTGACATACTACTGTTTAAAAGTTTGGGGTTATTCTTTTTTTTTTTTTTTTTTAATTAATACTCTCATTCAGCAAGGGGGAATTAAACTAATCAAAAGTGACATTAAATTCATATTCTGTTTAAATAAATGTCTTTCCTAAATCCTAACGAATCCTAACTAAAATGTATCACAGTTTCCACAAAGATATTAAGCAGCACAACTGTTTTAAACTGATAAAAATAAATGTTTCGTATCAAATCAGCATATGAGTCTGATTTCTGAAGGATCATGCTGAAAATGCAGCTTTACCACTGCAGGAATAATCTACTTTAAATTAATTGTAATGATATTTAACTATATTCTTCTTTAAAAAGTGTACAGACCCCGAACTGGGTGAGTGATCAACTAAAATCTAGTTCTGGTCTAATAAAGTGCAGAATCGAGATCAAGCTGCAAGAACTGCGAGAGTCACACCCTTCAGCACGTGTACAGTGCAAAATAATTATAATTCATGAATGTACACTGTCAGAATGTAGTCAGTCTTGACATAGACGTGTCATTATGAATGCACAACATATGTTAGACAAAATTCTCCATCTGCTCTATCAGGATGGTAATTGCTCTTTTCTTTTTTTACACGTGACAGCCAAATGCATTATTCATTAGCTGAATGAAATGCACTACTACAGCGCCATCAGGAAGGTTACGAATGGCAGAGATGTCCTTTTACATTTTTTTTTTCTCAATGTGATGTGGTATTCAACACCCAGTCATTATGACATTGTGTGTGTGTCGTAAACGGACTTTTTTTGTGTTTCTAGACGTATGCATGTGTACTGTATATCAGGAAGCAGTAGTCATTAGCAGCAATAAGGAACTTGCTCACAGTAGTCATCTACAGTATGCGTACACATGCTTTGATTCTCACACAGACACACACTGTCAAATGTAGTATGTCCTTCTGCTGATGTAGCTCTTAAAGGTACAGAAAACAAAAGCCAGCATAGATTCAAGATCTCAAGAGTTAAAGGGAGACTTACTCTGATTGCTGGTGATATATGTGTTTTATAGAACAAACATCCCTTGAAATCAGCTCCACTGTGGAGACAACAAAAAGACACTTATAAAATGGATAGTTCCGATCCTTGATTCTGATTGGTTGAGCCACGTTTGAAGCCGTTGTAAATTTCTCAACAAACGTACACCTGTGACTACATTACATAGTTATACTGCGCAACTGCCGTTTGTGATTCTTTGTTGTTGCATGTATTGCTTGGCAACCTCTTTGGAACTACATTTCTTGGCGGAGGAATAAATGTGTTATCCACAAGTTTCCTACGCCCCATGAGGCCTTGCGTCAAAAGTGGGCGCGACTTCCGGTTTGAAGTAAACAAAGCGCTACTTGACATGCTTGACACTCGTTCATTCAACAGTTGACAGTCATTCAAGTTATAGCGATCCAAACTAGCTAACGATGTGGGAACACAACCTCAACAAAATGAAAAAGGGTGAAATAACAGTACCTTTACCCTCCGCAGTAGTTGATTGGGAGTATTATAATAACATTGTTAATAATCAATACTCATCAAGGCATGGTGACAGACAGTTGTGCGAGCTGACAAACAATTAAAATAAAAAATACACACTTAGTCATTGTGCTTTGGAGTTTATTCAAAATTATAAATGAATGTGCTGCTTGAATGCACATTTGGTATTCTGTCAACACAGGCTTTGTAACATTTATTTCTTTTTTATTTTATTTATTTAAAATGGACATGGCAATAACATTGGACGAACCAGATGCATTGTTTAAAGTGTAATAGCACATGTGCTCATTTTCAACACCTGTCCATAGGGGCTTTTACTACAGATCAGTACATCAGTACAGAACATCAGTAGCGAACAGCCAAACACATGCTGATAGATTTTATAGAATATTAAGATTTTATTAGAATATTATTTAAACAAATATGTACACAGGAAGATTCGTCGTCTTTTGAGAAGTGATGGAAACTACAGTCGTTGGCAGGATCAGAGACGGGCTCTGGCAGGATCACTCGTTTTCAGCTTATGTTCAAAACAATCACGTTTAAGCCACTGAATTAGTTTAGTCCGGCTATACATACAACCGCGAACAGCACATGTTGTCCCTGAGCTCCGTAACGACATCTCTCATAAAGATTTGCGTCTTTAAATAGTAAAATAATTCGCCGAAAAACAGCTAGCCTTTTTGCTAACTAACACACAAAACACCATTGGAATGCTACTTCCGCCGCGTCACCGGAAGTTTCACCCACTTTATTTTTTACAGGAGCGGCCCTCGGAAACTTGTGGATAAAGTTATATTTTTTTGTTGCTGGTGTTTATTTTATGAATAAAATAAATATTCAAATGAATATTTTTATGGTGTAACCGTTTTATAAAAGCAATACGTGGCAACAAAAAATATGAAGTTATAACACATTTATTCCTCCGCCAAGCAACGTAGTTCCAAAGCGGTTGCTAAGCGATACATGCAACAACAAAGACAGTGAAAAACATGCTTAAAGATTGGGGTAATTAAAATTCATCTGGATCACCATTAATTGTGCAATTGCCGAAGAATTGTTAAAAACTCCTTATCCAGCAAAGAGTGCTAACTTATTTGATCTCTGTACAGGTGCGCTTTAATTGTGCAGTGCCAGAGGCAAGGATATTACTCCAGCATCGTCTCTCCTCAAAGTTTTGACACCAGTAAGATTGCAGGGATGATTCACATTTATGCCCCGTCACTGACATGATTTCTCTCGCTTCTAAGCCAGCGTCAGAAGGTTTTTGTACAGTCGTGCTTCGCAAGCAGTGGTTGGTATAGATTGTCTCAGTGCTTTACAAATCCGTGGCAACATAGAACCAAGGAAGTTCAGGATAAATGATTCTTGCTTCAGTTGCCGGTTGCCCTCTTTAGCTCTGTGTCCCATATGCAGCTGTACATCAAACCAGACTTTGTTGACAAGACCCTCAGGTGAATTTGGATTCAGTGTCAGACTGCTAGATTTTCTGAAAGTCTGCCTCCGTTAACGCAGGATGGTGGGTTGTTTTGTCATGCCTTTCTCGGTCGAAGATTTTTCACCACTCCGTAAACGTTGTTGTTAGTGATAATCTCAGGATCTTTCAACAGACACCAGGATCGGCTGATCGGTGGATCATTTATGTAACCATTAAGCCCCGCACATAGGCCGACGTAACTGCTGAAACCATATTCTTCACCTTTCCCATTTTTCACAGTGGCATAAAACTGACTGAGAGCCTGCTTTAAGTCAATTTTGGTTTTGAAATCAATAGCCAGATCTTTCAAACAGACCACATAGTCTGTTAAAGGGATAGTTCACTTTGAAATTAATTTTTGATATGTTTTAGCTTACCTCAAGGGCATCCAAGATGTAGGTGTCTTTGTTTCCACAGTATTTTAAATTTTGACATTTTTCGGTCAAACCGTTGTTGTCTGTCAGTCATAAAGTGCTGGTTTAGGGGGTCCACCTCAAAGAGCATGCACAGAGAAGTCCAAATTAAACATGATTTAATGACTTGTGAATGTAAGTACACACTGATGGCCTAAGACACGAAACGAGCGGTTTGTGTGAGAAAACGAACAGTATTTATATAGTTTTTACCTCTTGTTAACAGCTATGTCGAACTGATCTGAATCAGATGTCCAACTGAACGCCGGAAGTGATCTCTCACACGTCTACGTCACGCATTGTTTACACGGAGATTTCGGAAGTTTTACCTTTCACTAAACATATTTAGATGTATCGAAATCGTCTTCCATTGCGATCTAAATATGTTTATATGACTGACGGACAACAACGGTTTGACCGAAAAATGTCAAAATTGAAAATACTGTGGAAACAAAGACACCTACATCTTGGATGCCCTTGAGGTAAGCTAAAACATATCAAAAATTAATTTCAAGGTGAACTATCCCTTTAACAGTCCCAGTTTCATTTCTTGACTTTTCCAGGTCTTCAATTTCTCTCTCATTAATTCCAGAGTCTGCTTTTTTTACAGATTTGACGCAATTTGCACCCAGCCTCAAGCGGCCGGTTGATGAATTGCAGTTTAATTCACTTCCGTGTTGGTTTCAAGAGAGAGACGTTTGACGTACACGTCATTGACATCTTTTTTCAGTTTTATGATGGGTGGCAACCAGTGTTGAAATACTGCCACTTACTATGTTGGAGTGTGACTGGTGCTGGATTATTTATGATATTAAGAATTTGCAGTAATAACATGTTATACTTTTTTAATTTTTCAAACTGGTCAATACCGGTGTTGTGCCTAATTTCGACCCCCCTGTCAAATTATTACCCCCCTCGTTGAAGTCAGTACCTGATTGCCTAATCCCAATCCTCCCCCTAATAATTAATAATTTGGTAATAATAATAATTTATTATTATTATTAATAATAATTTGTCTAAATTCGGCACAAGTCAGCTGCCTTTATATATTATCAAACCCATGACTTTGACTGAATCTGAAAGTGGAAAGTCTCCACCATTATGGAAAAGCATGCATGTGGGTGTGTGCATGTGCGCATGTACTTCTGTCTCTCCGCTGGCTGCCAGTCTGATCTACGTGGCTATTTGGTGTGTGGTAGATCCTATGAATGTCAATGCATATCTCCTATTTTGTTTTTCACTGCTGCTCCCTCCAGTTCTTTTTTTCCCTCTTTTTTTTTTTCTTTTCTTGATTTATGTTATTCCTTTCCCGATTTATTAATATTACATATTAATAATAGTTGCTTTGTGTCAAGCATGCAAGTGGTAAACATGATGGAATAAAGACTCAGGGACATAATTTTGACACCAGGACAAACTGCTCCGCACCAGGCTGCCACACACTTCATTACAAATGCTCAAGATCACATGATGTTATCTCCATATGCTAGATTCAGGAGCATTATAAAGCAAATTAAAAGATGCATTTGTGTATCATTGACCTCATTTTACACCTTCCCTTCTCACTTACTATCTCTTGTTCTGCTTTTACTCAGATGGTGACGGCTCCCAAGACCACCTATTGCCGGTCTGTATGGATGATGCATGTGGCAAAAGTGCAATTTACCTAGCCAAGACTGGAGAGACAGAGGTACGCAAGCCTTCGATTATTACTCACTCCTTCGCTCACCATTTCATTCAATTGCATGTGATCTGTCAGTGAGGTCAGTGAGGTTTCAGAGGTGCTTTGAGGAAAGCGACAGCACTGTTTTAAATGTTGTCACAGTTGTTTTTAAAACCAGTGGGTGGATTTGAGAGATGAATCGTTGGGAATTGGGAATTGATACAGATTTCCTGATTCACAAGCTCTTGATATGATTTAATTTGATCCAGATTAATTTGGGTACACTACTGTTCAAAGGTTTGGGTTCAGTAAGTTTTAAAAAATATACATATTTTATATTTGAAATAAATGCTGTTCTTTTGAACTTTTTGTTCTTTAAAGACAAATTTAAATTGAAATATACTTTATTGTCCTTGATAGGGAAATTTGTAATGGACTCAATAGCTAGCATTTCGACAGAACCTGATACATGAAAAAAATTACACATAAAATTCATACATACCATGTACACATAAGAATAGGTAGACGTCGCTAATCCAAGTTCAACAGTCTAATTGATACCGGCACAAAAGAGTTTTTAAACCTGCTCTATACCTTCTTCCAGATGGTAAGAGTTCATAAGGGATAGAGTACATGAGACGGGTCTTAAAATCCTTATAGCCGCATTCAATGTGAATTGCTCATACAGAGTCTCAATACTGGGATAGTCTTTTCAGTCCAATCATTTTCATAGCATAAAAAAGTTTTTCTTGTGTGGCAAATCAGCTTATTGGAATGATTTCTGAAGGATCGTGTGATGACTAATGCTAACAATTAAGCTTTACCATCACAGAAAAAAAAATCACATTTTAAAATGTTTTGAAGTGTAAAAACGTTATTAGAAATTGTAATATTTGTACTTTTGTTATAATATGCCAAATTATATTATATATGGAATTCGTAGCACTCTGTACGAACCAGGAATAAATGCATAATTTTCTTTTTTTTTTTTTTTTTGGTCTTGACCAAATAACCAGATAACCAAACTAGAATGAACAGTGAACACACCAAACTAGAATGACCAGTGAACACACTGTATTTTTAACCAGCCCTAATTTTGTATGGATTTAAGTGAATAAAGTGGTGGATTATCAGATGAATGAATGGAGGGATTGTCAGTTGATGAGGGATTGATCGTTCTTTACAATCTATGGATCTCATAAGGAACATGCAGGGAATCTTCTGGAATGCTGAGTAAATATTATTCACCCCATATATGAACATTCAAATGAAGATTATAATAGCAGCTTATAATAATAATACATTGATAATGGAATGTATTTAGAGCTCATTGTGTAAAGGCTGTGGGCTGGCAGCTCATGCTCTTAACTGAATGTCAGCTTCACAGTGGAAGGCAGCGGTTATCTCGCTGTCCTCGCACATGTACACACACAGACAGTTCGCCTGTCACAGGCCTTGGGACCAGAGAGAAAGGGAACAAAGATGGACGGAGACGAGGAGAGGGCAAGAATGTAAAGGGCGGGGAACACGTGTCAGCTTTTGTCCGCCTGCCACATGCGCTAGTCTTCACCATCAGATACACTGAAAGGAAAGAAAAGTTGGTCTCTTTCATTATTTTCCCATTTGTCCATCTCCATCCCTTTCTCTTTGTCCATTATTGGTCTTCCTTTCTTTCTTCGAGGTTCTCCTTCCATTCTTTTTAGCGTTCAGAAAACCGCATCTGCATTGGTTTGAAAGCACTTATTCAACGCTGTCAAATAATGAACAAGACTGATATAGACATAGCAGCACACAAGGTGTATTGAAAAGACAAGATAAAAAGAAAACAAACACTTGACAAAAGATAGATAATAACAAAAGACGTGCTTGTGTTGTAGTCAAAGAACTGCAGTCTATGATTTAATTGGCCCAGGGCTTTCTTTGTTTTTAAGCATGTTTGTTGTGGATGGGTGGGTGGGTGTGTGTCTGCTAATCACACAAATGCTCTCTTTCACACACAAAGTCTGCTAAATAAACTCATTCTCTCTGTTTTCTTTTCCAGCTCATCTGCTTAATATTGACAGTGTAAACACATGTAACATCACACTCATTAGAGTGATTGGGGACAACGATTTTCATTACGCACACACATACACATATTTTACTGGCTTTATAAATGTGTTTTTTTTTTTTTCCATTTTAAATTTAAAGGGGACCTATTATGCAAAATTCACTCTTACATGGTGTTTGAACATAAAGGTATGTCGGCAGTGTGTGTACACACCCCCCACGACTGCTGACAAACTCCACCCTATTAGACCCCATAGACCCCGTCCTGAGTGAGCTGTACGCATTCCACCATGTTTATCAGCATGAACAGCATTCAATTAAGAAATGTATTCTTTTTAATTCTATTATAGTTATTTAATCAAGAGCAGTGAGTGATTTTCTGTTTTTCTTTTGTTTTATGATTCATATTAACAGCATATATAGCAGTAGATGCTGTATATTACGCTGATATAATACACAGATCTAATATTCAAATGCGATTTCTTTACTTGCGTTCACAGACATAACCAAACATGTTTATGTGAACTTTGTGTGTTTTTGACATAACCTTGTGTGTATTTGACAGTTTAAGTGCAATAAGATCTAAAAGAGAACTTAGTTTAATACTCAAGGTATGTGCCGTCTGACAGCCAGCTTTCTGTGTGTGTTCTTCAGATGTGTGCGCTCAGAAAACCTTATTTGAGAAGTTTAGACTGATATGCCTTTAAAAGTAGCAGGCCGCAAGGATATTGACTGGGATATTCAGTCATATTACTTTTTTGGAGTCCTTACACTGGCTCCCAGTCAGATTCTAAGTTGATTTTAAAATGATCATTCTGGCAAATAAAGAATTGCATGGCTTGGCTCCACATTATTTATTTGAATTGTTGTATTGTAGATTGTAATCTTCACAAATCACAATCCAACTTGTTAATTGCCTGTTTGATAATTTCTCTAAAAATGCTATCCAAACACACAAATCCTCCATAGACTTGCTTTGGATTCGGAATAAAGGAAAAAATAAAATTGGGGATGGCAACCGTTAAGGTAGGATTGTTTAGAGATGATTTCAATGTGAGGGGCATATAAGCCAATTCAATTTACCATAAAGGCTTATCTTTACCCTGAAGTATTACCCTAAAATATTATGATCCATTTCTTTTCAGGTTTAGCGTCTAACATTTGAGACAATTTCAGTATTTTTTTTCCTCAAAGGTGAAGCTACAGTCTAGTTTAGAAACACTCAAATCGGGTTTTGTATTGAACATTTTGACGATGTTCCATGAAAATCGGGAAATGACATCCATTTCCCGATTTTTGCATGTGGTTTACACCTGTTTGTTCTTCACCTTAAATGGGTGCCTGGATCTCTGGGATCACCACAGAATTAAACTATCCCTTAAGCTGCAATGCAGCAAAGCAGCATCTATTAAACATGGCGGGTGAGAGAAAGAGAGATGGGGAGGAAATGATGGAGAGCGAGGCAATAGATTGTCTGAGGTGGTGGAAGTGTATGTGTGTATTGAATTTCAACAGAGTCATGAGGGAGTGAACGGGGGAAGGAGGGAGGTATGGACGCCTTCATCGGCTGAGCTGCTCTCTCTTTCAGCCCGGGGCGTCTCACACTTATTCATTTCATTTTCATGTACTCTGTAATAGCAACTTTGTTTCCAGCTTGGCGGCATCAGCTGAGTGTGTCAGGTCATTTATTTCATAGTTTTTTATCAGAGTATAAATAAAATTTGCACTCACTATCATGGCTCACACTCCGAGTACTGCTGGCCCTGTCTCTCTGTGTGTGTGTGTGTGTGTCTGGGTATTTGCTACCTATGTATCTATGTATCGTGTGAGTCTGAAATCACTTAAAACGTCAGTCTCTGAGCAGTTTGTTTAACGGTATTGATCAGTGCAAGTGCAGTATCTATGTATGTATCTATTTCCGTTTATCCTGACACCTCTAAATGATCAGAAGGAAGTGTCCTATGGACAATTCTACTACGGGCAAAAATTTTCAGACATCCGTGTAAAGACATATCCTCTACTGAGCCATTGCTGCACTCGGACGTTAGATTGGCCATTATCTGCTTACAGGGCACTGAGGCCTTCATTTTCTCTTTCTCTCAGGCAGCTGGTGATCCTGTCAGTACTCATACCGTCCCACTCCCCTAGAGTCACAGCACCACCTGTTCAGCTTGTGTGCTGCCACTCATGAGTTGTTAGTCGACCCATACAGAATCTGAATAGTTCTTAACATTAGTTAAACTGATTAAGGGGGAATGTGTGCAGATTTGAATATGGTAAAATGTGCAATAGGAGCTGAGATGGCTGCGCTTTTATTGGCAGCTGAATGCGTTATCAGAAATCAACCAAAAAAGATTTACCTGATAAGAGTTTTCCATTGATTCAACAAGACACGCACATTTTGATTCCACTTATTGATTCATGTGATTTTAAACCATTTAGGCGCTCGAAGACACAAAAGAGAACTCAATTCAGTATCCGTGTGCTGTGTGCTATACTGTGCACTGGGGTTGCCGAGTAGTCAATTTTAATACTCTGCCGTGATGCTTCAAACTTGACATCGACTTGTCGCTGCTCCTGGACTATAGAGAGCGCATCAGGATAGGAAATCTTTTAAGTTCACTTTTACGGTTCGTTTCCAACAGTTAAAATGACAAATAAATGCATGCCGTACACCGAGAGCACTCCCCAAGATATGTTTGATCTTACCACCTGGATGCTTAAATTTAATTGGGTGAATGCATTTTTTTATACACGTAACGCTTATTGTACGCGTAAGTTTCAAAATTTGCTGCTGCTTTGTAACACTCTCACATACAGGCAGGAGCTCGCACATCACGTGAGCTCTTTGGCGTCATATTGCACTAAAATGATCAAATACACAAACAATTATTAAAATATCCTCATTAACAGTCTTGTCTTAAGTGAACGTAAACATTTGAGAAAGAAATTGGATGTTTGTCATCCAATGGATCTGT